CCCTGCTGATGACCATGATGTTTGGTCGTTGCGTGCACTAGCTGAAGCACTGCCCGGCTGATGCCCATGATGTTCGGTCGTTGCGTGCACTGGCTGAAGCACTCCCCTTCTGATGCTCATGATGTTCGGTCATTGCGTGCACCGGCTGAAGCACTGCCCGGCTGATGCCCATGATGTTCGGTCGTTGCGTGCACTCGCTGAAGCACTGCCCGGCTGATGCCCATGATGTGTGGTCGTTGCGTGCACTGGCTGAAGCACTGCCCGGCTGATGACCATGATGTTTGGTCGTTGCGTGCGCTAGCTGAAGCACTGCCCGGCTGATGCCCATGATGCGCGGTCGTTTCGTGCACTGGCTGAAGCACTGCCTGGCTAATGTTCATGATGCTTTTGGCCGTTACGCGTACTGGCTGAAGCACTGCCCGGCTGATGCTCAGGATGCTTGGTCGTTGCCTGCACTGGCTGAAGCACCGCCCGGCTGATGTTAATGCTCAGGATGTTTGGTCGTGTGTGCACACTGGCTGAGTAGAGCCCGGGTGGTGCCCATGAGGGGCCATTAGACGTACTGGCTGAAGCACCCGGCTAATGCTCATGATGCTTTGAGTTGCGTGCACTGGCTGATGCTCATGGCGCTTGGCCTTTGAGTGCACTGGCTGAAGCACTGCCCGGCTGACGCTTCTGACGCTTGCTCACTCCGGGTGATGCTTTTGGCTGCTTAGGCCACCGCCGACTGCTGCAACGCGCTAAGGAGGGACCGTGGCTGTTCGGCACCAAGCCCACGGTGAAGGCCACGCCCGCTTGCCTTCACACTGTGCTTTCGGCACCAAAGCCATGGTGAAGGCAACAGCGGCCATTTGCCTTCGCCGTGTATTTTGTGTCAAAAACACTCGGTGAAGGCGAGCGGCCGTTGGCTTCGGCATGGTTTATTATGCAAGAATGGTGAAGGCAAGCTGCCTCTGCCTTCACCCGGTGCAATAAACTGTGAAGGCGAGCGGCCGTTGCCTTCACCTGGCTTTTGCTGCCAAGACCCACGGTGAAGGCAAGCGGCCGTTACCTTCACCAGTGTTTAGTGTTTTGGTGTCAACAACACACAGTGACTGCCGGCGGGTGTTGCCTTCACCACGGTTTTGGTGCGACAAAGCGACGGTGAAGGCAAAGCGCCGTTGCGATTGGAAGGCGCCCGTTGCCTTCACCATGTTTTTGTGCTGCCAAACACACGGTGATGCGTTGGCGTTGCCTTCGCCATCGTTTTATCGTAATAAGGATGACAGCAAAGCAAACATACCTCTGTAGGTGTGCTAGCTGCTAAGCAGCCAGTCCAAGTCTGGCTCCAGTGAGCAACCAATCCAATGCAAATTACAACATGCGCAGCGACGAGTCAGCCACGCAGCTTCCGCTTTGCTGGCATGCTGAAGCAAACACAACACTAAGACGAGAGGCCGGTGTTCCTGCCTACCGGCACCCAAAATGGGGGGGGGAAAACAGACAAGGAGCCCAAGGGGGTGGGGAAGGTGGGGGAGGCCCGGCCTAGGCCATTGATCATGTACACATATTCCTCGTGGAGCATGCACGTACAGGATACCGCTCGGTCCTCCTTCTTTGTTGCTGCAATGTGCATAAGTTTCCTTGCCAGAGAATCGCAAATCATGAATCATGTTGCATTTGGTTGAACCGCGGCCATGGAAACAGCTGCATGCGGATCAGGACCTCAAGCTAGCTCTGCACTATAAATCCAGTGCGGCTAAGTTGCTTGGGGATGCAGCCCACGTTCACGCATGTACCACCAACTCCCCATGTGGTTCCCTGCGCGGTCAGAAAGCAGCAGAATCGACATTTCTTGACATCTGCGTGCAACCCAATTCAGGTTGTATTCCAAGCTGTCAGTGGCTGCATCCTGGTTTGCATGACTTTTTTGCTGGGATCCTCAACACCTCCTCCACCTCATGCAGCAGTCCAGAAGCTGGACGCCATGCGGGCAAACTTGCCAGGCATGACTTCAAACCATAACTTCCAAGAAGTCTAATCAAGCACAAGGACAAACCAACTTCGAAGACCCTGAGAAGCAGAATGCCAACACTGGGGACGGCTGAGATCGCACAAACAGGACTCCTGTAGAAACAAAGAGAGCGTTCCGGCCTCCAATGCAAAAACACGAGAGCTTTCGAGCACCGCTTTGAGCTTTTTCTGTTGAGCTTGAAAGTGATCATACATCCTCCGTCGTTTGCAGAAACCCAGGGGTTAGCGGCTAGTATGTTGGCTAGGCCAGGAGTCGAGACACGAGTAGGACACGTCTCTTAGCAAGCACTCCAAACCCCAGACTTTAAACTTTTGGATGCTTCCTCCAAGCCTCTTGCCCAGCCGCCGAGAAGCGCCCCGATGCAACAACACGGCTTGCATAAACCGGAACTCTTAACATACTTCCCGGAATACCGGTTTGATTCTATTTTGCCCGATTGACGGCTGGGTACAGTGTTGGATAAACCCCACCCACCGAGAACCCTTGGAGGTCCCATAAGCCACAGAAATGGCCGGGTTCAAAGCCTGCGGTGATGGCTTTACGAAGTCTGCTACGGCGATCTTCTTCGTCTTGTCCCTCCAGGGCTGAGCACGTCGCAAGAGCGAAAACAACTTGAGGCAAAGGGCTTTAGGGTGTCATGTGTGCGTTTGGAACGCTCCTCCCCCAACCACACAATCACGCTTGAGTGGGCCTCCTGGACAAACAGGAAGGAGCCCCGTTTTGGGGTCTGGCACTAACCGCACAAAACCTTACGGTATCAATCAACGCTCCTCAACTTCTCCCGAACAGGGAAATCAACCGTGCGCCACGGTTCCGGGTATTCTAGATTTCAGGACAGGCTGACCAAGACTCAAACAGATTTTGTTCGACGGGATTTGGGGTCGCTGCTGAGCTGGTATCGTTCGGGCCGAAATGATGCTTAGACTTTTTGGAGATTGGAGGTGTGACAGCGAGTGTGTGGAGGAGGGGCTGCGGTCCGATGTCAGAATGCCAACTGTTGAGCTTAATCACACGTCTTCCTATCGAGGGAACGGGAATCCCAGAATTGCCGCAATGAGAATGAACAGTGATCATATGAAGCAAGCGTTGTCTACAGAAACAGCCACAATTACATACATACATACATACATACATACATACATACATACATACATACATATATATATATATGCATACATATAGATAGAAAGATAGATAGATAGGTCGATAGATAGATAGATAGATAGAGCGAATATGTCCCCTTCGTGGCCTCTAGATCAATACTTTCTCTAGTGTAACGCTCCCTGCCTGGCTGCTTCCAAAGCAGCGGCGCAGCCGCCACTTCCGCCGCCCAGGACGAAGAGGTCGAAGTCGTAGGCACCCGGTGGGGCAGGCGTCTCTGCCTGCTCTTTGTCGAATCCTCTAGGTTTCTTTGTGAGGGTTTAAGGCAAGTTGAAGGAGCCAGGAGAGGCCTTGTGAAGATTCTGCGGAGGAAGCCCCAAGCCCAAGCTCATGTGAGTTGCCCCTCTGTGACCTGGAAGTAGACCGAAAGCAGAAGTCTTCAGCCTTCTCTGAACATGCCGAAATCCTCATCTGCCACAGCTAACTTGTTGCATGGCTTTCTTCTTGCATTGCATCACGTTCTGTCTGCGAAGTGCTCGTTCTGACACTTGCCCTCATTCTGACTAATTTTTGCCATGGCCTTTTGGCGTACATGTGGTGGAGAAAGTACAGCCCTTCCCTCCGACTGCCCCGCATTGATCTACGGAGATTCAAGGTGAAGGATCTCAGGCATCCTCTCTTGGACTTCTGATTTCTGGTACTTGTGGCAGGCTGAGGTGGCGATGCCTCCGCGTCGATCGCGTTTGCCTGTGCCAGAGCCAAGCATAGCCAAGGCAGGGCGGAAGGGAGACGGAAACACTTTTGTTTAGAATAGGGGGGTTTGGAACGTTTTTTGGGTAAAAATCGGATCAATATTATCACTGGAATCCTAAGGAGTCATGGGGCTTTGCGTTAAGGTTCGTTATGGGGTATGTCACCGCAAAAAGGAGCTCTAAGGAATTGGAATTGCATTGAAGATTACTACAACATAACGAACAATGATGTCCATATTGCTTCCTGACGTCCTGCGTCCTGTGCAAGAGTCGGTCTTATGAGTGATGGTCGGCCTGTAAATTGCGATTTTCTCAAGGCCCGGAACTACCCAGAGGACTGCAACAAAGAAATTTAGGCCAGAGAGCGCGCCGTTTGAAACCCTGGCGATGGGATGAAAGGTGAAGGGACGGCTCGGGGTCGGTTCCAAGTTTGACGCTTACAGTATCCGCTTTCGCTTCCTGTCCCCTGGCTGATACGCTGCTGCATGGGCAAAGAGCAGTATGGGAGTGTGGGGAACTTCATGCATCTCACGTTGTTGGATGTTGTTGGGAGCCGACAGTCCCGGGATATTTCGATTCGGTGCAAGGGAGTCGGTGAGCTGAAAATTCTGCAACAGAAAACAATTGAACTCGAAACGCTTCCCATGCTTTTCTGATTCTACTCACTGACCGAGCTGTCTGAGTCTTTGTACTCGGCTGGTGTCTTCAGCCACGGGCCCGACTTCCCTGCCAGCATCTTCTTGATGTTATGCCGCGTCCGCAGCATGAAGGCGCCGGTCATGAAAAGCCAGGGCAAATACATCGCGACGAAGATCGCTGAGGCTGTGCCTCTCAAAAGAGCCCCCCACCGTTCTTCAAAACTGCACCAGCAAAACCCTGTGTTTTTTACATGCAGCCTCAGGTCCTGTGGAATGAATCTTGACATAAGAGCTCATATTACCAGTTCTCTTCTACAAATATCCCCCCACCATGCTGGATCGGGCCTAGACCCCAAACAGCAACAAGGATCGCCGGCACGAAGATGCATGACAAGGAGATCAGGCCCACTTTGGCCATGAAGCTCCAGTCCAAGCACACGTACATCCCGGCTTTGAAAACCTACAAACAGGGGCTGAAGAGGTGAGGGAACCTACACTGCGGCGTATCCCACGATTTCAAGACTTTTTTTTCCGCTCCGAGAGCGGCCAGGGTGCCCGATAGACTACTTTCGATACTTCCCAGCCTGGTAAAAGCACCGCGCAATCAAGACAGGCGTGAAAAAGTACAGAAAGGCCTGCTGGAGGGTGTCGCCTTTCATGTGGCCGCCACCAAATATGCTGCTGTAGTGAGGAAGGCAAGAAAGATCCGAAGCGTACTCACAGGCTTGCTCTGCTTGGAGAAAGGACAGTGCATCACTGTAGGGGATGACAGATGCCGCGACGGCGACGACGAGCAGCAACGAGTAGACCGTCGCCAGTCGAAACAAGCCGCGGAACTGCGTATACTCTCCCTCGGAGACCAGCTGAGTACCTCTGAGTCGCAGGACGTATGTCAGTCCGATGACCCAAGCCAAGCCATACTGAGGGAACGCAGCCTGCAAGGAACTGATCTGGTACATGGCGCCCAAGCCCAATCTCGTCCCTGCCGTGTAGATCCTCGGATTCGCACTAAAGCAAACATTCCGACCCAGCCTCTGGGAGCTATACTTGGCCAGAAGATAGAAAGATTGCTCAGGATCACCTCGGATCCCCACGGTTGCAGGCATCTGGGCTGAGACATCCAGGATCATGGCCATGAAGCCTTCGCGCGAAGTGTCTTTCCACAGAGAGCGCACCGAGAACTCTGCCGGTCTGCTCGCTGCGGTCTCGTCTGACCTCAATCCCAAAGGGCCAATTTTCCCCAACTTTGTGTAACCTGCGCCCAAAGCCGAGCTTCCGAAAAGAAGAGACCAACCGTCACAAGCTGCCCTTTTTTTGCCTCCTATAGCAGGTTGATCTTGAGAAAGACGCGTTTACAGGATCAGAAGCTTCCGAGGGCCCTACTTATACCTGTCCTTATGATATGTCCGCTTGATAACTCGGACACCAGCGTCCGTCTATGTTTTGGATGTGCTGGATCTCCTAGGCACTCGGAAGCAGAGCATGCGATTTTTGTCCAGCCTTATCTTGGACATGCTGACTATCAATTTTTTGGAAGTCCTAGAACCCACCGTCCATGCTTCAGGAGCTCGTCTGCTGTGTGGGCCAAAACACGGCTCCTCGCGCTTCGCAGTCGGAGCTTCAATAACAATCTCTCTTGACTGACCGAGAGCAGCCCAAGGGCAGCGCTGGTAAAAAGGTGAAGATAGGTAGGACTGATGTTACCTCTGCCACAGGTTGGTGAGGAGGCCGAACGACCCAGCTGCGAAGTAATAGACCAGTTGTTGCACGCTCGAAGATGTAATGCGAATACCTCGGGCATAGAAACCTGCATGGCTATGCAGGATATATGACACCACATACTGCCTCGAGTCGTCTAATGTCTCCCGACCATCGAACGACCAGGAATTCACAAGCGGTGCCAAGCGATCGACCTTCTCCGTCACAGCTGCTGCTGTCGAGAGGACGTACAGAAGCAGAACCACGGGAGAGTACAACCATCCAAGCCACTTGATAATGTTGAGGAGGGATGCTCCTTCACCAGATAGAGTCAGGGACAGGACCTGGTATGCAAACAAGATCAAAGTCCCCATGCAGGAGGAAGCGAGGAGCACCAGGAAGTTGCTGAGTTTGCACGAAGTCTGTCGCAAAGTGGCTTGAACGATGTTCCAACTCATCACTGCGGCCTCCATGTCGCCTGTGCTATAAAAGCGCAATGCAAAGCTGTCCACTGCAAGCTCCAAACCTGCAGTTACATGCAGCACGCAGTAGCACGCCGTGCAGTAGCATACCGCCATTGCAGTGAAGCCCACCAACGTGACGAGATCGAAGCCAAAGACCTCCTTGTACTTCCCGAAGATTTCCTGGTCTGTCAGAAACAGCGCGCCCACTCGCGAACTGACCATGAGGAGGAAAAAGCCGCTTATCTGGAAAAGGCGTGCCTTGGAAAGCTTTCTCCAGTCGTCCAAAAAGTCCGACTCGAGTGCATAGTCATCCATCATGTACTCGGATGGCCCCAGGAGGCAGGTGATCTTGTTCCTCCGAAGGCTGAAAACCCCCGCAGCTACACCAAAGAAGTAAAGCGCCGTTGTGATCAGAGGCTCGAGGTCCTCGAAATCACCAGTCCATGTACTCATGGCCGCTACCAGACTGATAACGCCCACAGTCTGTATCAGCAGGCTACACCTTGCAAGGCATCGCCACTTCCTGCCGTCGAAGAAGTCGAGTATGCCGATCATCGACAGCAGGAACCATCCGAGTCGGGGCACTGCAGTTGCCGTCTCCAGGCTATTCCGGCGTGAGCTCGGAGTCGGCAAGGCGGGGGAGGCAATGACTGCATCGTGAAACTGGCGAAGATCGTCTAAGGACTTCCTCCGACAAACAGCAGGCGGCGACGTAGGAGCCCGTGGTTGTATGCTCGGAGGAGCTTCTGGGATAATGTCCGCATCAGCGCGGTCCGGTTTAATGGCTGACAAGGAAGCAGATCTGGACGGCTTCCGCGAGGACGGAGAGTCATGTGAGCTGCGCTGGAAGAGGCCGAGCATGTCGGCCTCACCCGCAGGCTTTCTTGGACTTCCCCTGGCACCTCTTCGTCTGCTGCGTAACTCCTCGGCCCTGGCAGCTTCAAGTCCATATATAGACGAAAGAAGTTCTGAGCTCAGCTTCGGAGTTTGGATCACTTCACCGTTTCTGGCTGCCGACGTCATCGAGCCATCCGAACGTCTGTGAATTCCTGCATCCAGAGACCTGCTTCCGTGGCCATCCGAAGGCTTGCCAAGCCGCCCTGTATCCTGGGCCTTGGTTCCGTGATCAGCGTCGGATGGTGTGGTCCGGAGGCTCCTTTCAAGCCTTGCCAGGGAAGCCTTCATACCACGAAAGTCTGATAGCTGCTCGTTCATGTGATCCAAAGTCATAACCACATACTCTATGTGCCGCAGCGTCGCCTCCGCCGTGGACAAGCTCTGCTCACTGTCGTTGTCGCCACGGCTCTCCATGTCTGCCCCCGCCACAACGTTTTGCTGATTTCAGAGCCCGAGGACTGCGAGGCAAGTGCAAAAATTGTCTTCGGTTGCAAGCTGTGGGGAGTGACAGAGAAAAGAACTGGTCGTGAGTCCTAGAACGCCAACCTCGTAGCCAGTTTTACAAGCTGGGCTCAGGCTGTGCAGCTTCTTCCTTCAACTCTGGCTGCTAGCTGCGAGCTCTTATAAACCCGATTAAACCCTAAACCATGAAGCCAGCGTCGGTCGGGTGATGCGCAGGTCGTAGCGCTTGCGGAGGTCCCGCCGCGCTGCAAACATAGCCTAGGCTCCACAGGCTTCCAAGTCCGTCGGACTTAAGGCATGCATACATACATACATGCATACATACATGCATGCATGCACACACACACACACGCACATATACATATATAACATAAAACATATGATATATATGTGTATATATATATATTTACACACACACACTATAAAGCATACAAGGTATTGTTCACACTTAAAAGATAATATGATATATTCTAATTCAAGTAATTTCATATGATACAATAGGCAAACCACAACCCTACACTAATTCATGTTGCTTGGCCGATACCGCCTCTGCAACCTCCCTCTCTCTCAGAAATGCCTCCTTGCTTTCAGGTGCCTAACCCC